TGAGCTAAATTTCCAGTCCTTTCTATTTTTTGAGACAGGGTTGCCTTTAGTTGATGGGGTTTTTGCTAGAATGCTGAGGCTGGTCTTGAACTTGTGATCTTCCTGCCTTGTACTCCCAAGTTGCTGGGTTGTAATAAGCTTTTTCTATTACTGGTGCTGTGAAGTTTACAGAGGTCTAATATATTATTTTTCTCTCTCAAGAAGCTTGAAATCTACATGGTACACTCAAGAGTACATATAACTGGGTTCTACCACTTGTAGTTTGCTGATATAACCCCAGTAAATTATATAAATATTATAAAATGAGTGGGTGAATTGTAAAAGCTATGTTGCTTTCAGTTGTCCAGTTTAGAGAATTTTAATATTCCAGAAAAATTCTATCAATGGCAAGTTTGAGATGAGGGCCTATTTAAATATCCAACTCAGAGTGTATGCTTTGGTTATTAATTGCCATGTTTATTACTGCACCCCACCACAAGAACAAAGAAAAAAATCATGATTATTATGCTCACAAATACTAGCTTTGGGAAACTGAACAAGGCAGAGTGGGATTGTCTGTCTTTTTACCAGATACCTGGGGCCTCAAATAGGATGAGTCCAATAGCTGAAGGTGACTTTAACTGATAAGAGTTGGAGTAATTGAGAATGGTAATAGATTTTCACTGTCCTGTTTATTGACTTGAGTAGGGATGATTTGAAGACTTGGCTTAGCTTGGACTAGTGAGCATAGCAGTTACATATGGCTTTTTCATGAGGCTTTGGCATCTCTCAGAGTGGTAGCTTGGTTCTAATAAGGTTTAAGCTAGGATAAATACCAAAATCTTAACGTGTGGTGTGGTGTGGTATGGATTACTACTCAACCACATTCACAGTACCCTTGGCTGTGGTACCTCTCTCTGTCAGAGGATTATATAGCCCTGTCTCTTATTCTCTGGTGTGACAGAGGTTTGGCTGATAAAAAGTGAAAGACATATGGGCACAAACTTTAAAAACTTGTGCATGATTTATCACTTTTATTTTCTTTCTGCCACGACAATGGCAATATTCCACAGAGAGTGCTCTGTTAGCTCAAGTCCAGACTGAAAATGACAAGGAACAGGGTCATGGTGAACATGTGACATTAGAGATTAATAAATCTTCTTGTAGATAGCTGAGAATCTTTTGGAATACTTTGTTACAAAGCACAGCTTAGCCTATCCTGGCTGATAAACATGGTCTCTGAGCTCTTGCTTATTATTCCATCTCTTTGCTACAGCCTCATTGGCCCTTTGGTGGTTAAAAAATTGTTCCCGCCCACACTAGAACATTAATCTGTTATTCTCTTATTCTCTCTCTTGCTGTCCTTCGAAAGTAATTTTTTTTCCCTTTGTCACTGAACACTTACCCACCAGTGAAATCCCAGCCTTATATGAAGTACTCAGGAAGGACTGCCTGACCTGTGTTCAAGGTACTCTGTGTTTACACTGTTGTGTCATTATATCTGTTTCACTAAATGACAAGTTCCATGAAGACAGTGACTACTTATGCTTTGGTAACCATTATATTCCCAGTGACATAATATTTTCTCTCTAAAGAGCAGCATTTTTTGTATCTTTGTGCATGTGGCAGAAAATGGCCATTATAACCATAAGACACTTCTCCACTTAGGGGCAACCAATTAATTAGCACTCCAAAATTCTGTTTCCAAATTCTTATAGAGAGATTCTGATGATCTAAACTTGTGTGTCGTCTATCAGTGGTCCATCACAATTTACTAGAAGATCTAGATTAAGCAGAGTTAACATGGCCACAGAGATGTCTACTCTGGAGATAGGGGAAATTCTCAGGGAAGGGGATGAGGACTGAACTGACATCCCCAAAAGTATCTGCTATAGTCAGCACAGCTGATAGGAGCTTTATGTGTTGACTTTAACAAACTTCTTCTCAAAATTATCCTCATAGAGTATAGCTCCTAATTTTTTTCTTTATTTAGGAAAAAAAGGTGATAATCAGGTAGTTGTTTCTGTCTTCCTGAGTTTTGTCTTTTCTCTGGGATCCTTTCATTTTGATTGTCACTTCCACTTCACCCTGTTCTCTTAGAATTGGGGAGGGGTCACTCTTTTTCTTTTAAAACTAATATTGGAACCACGAAACAAAAACAAAAGAAAACAAAACCAACCCCTCCCTCCATTTTCCATAATATTGTAGGTACAAGGCAGAATTTTCAAACACTTTCTTAACTATTAAGGAAGAACAAAAAGGAAATGCAAGATGGAGGGCAATAAAAGTGTGACTCACAAATTAAAGGTTCCTGGCCCTTTCCCTGGATTTACTGTTTATATGAAGACCTGAATGTCAGTTTCAACAACACAGAGAATGAACACAGCAAAGTCAAGTTACTACATTTTTCCTGTAACATTTATTCTATCATAATAAGAAAAACAGAAGATAACATTTTCTAATTAGAAACTTTTACGTTTAGTTATTTCTACCTCTGAAAAAATTTTAAAAGTACCCTTATAACTAGTTTCACAAAGCAAGTATTTTCAAGGTCTTAAACACAAACTTAAAAAATCTTTCCCTCTTTTTTGTTAATATAAATTAGACTATAGTGAGATGAACTGAATCTAGGATTCCATAAAAACATTTGTAAATAGGGGCTGATTACAACTCATCTGAATAAACATGATACACATTGCCATTAAAACTTTTTCAAGTGTGCTTCTGACTGATAAGTATGATCCATGTCCTACTACTTTTTTTCCTGAACAGAGACTGTGAGCTGGGTAATACATTTTAGTTTAAATTAATTTGATATTTTAACTATTACATTTTCCACATGATCAAGCAGTTTTTATATTGTGTTACATACCTCTTGTGTTGTACTTCTTACCCCAGCACAACTCAGAAAAAAATTCCTGTAACTTTCAAAACTTTGTATATTTGTTGCTTACATTTGCATGTGGTTTGTAAAATTTAAATTATTACCAATATTTATTTCAGCAACAGAAATATGTGAAATATGAAGTCTTTTAGTGGTAAAAATTTAAGGGGGTATGATGCTTTAAATCTGCTTTAAATGACGATTCTGTTGTGTAGGTTAAAATGAGCACAGGTAGCAATTAGAAGACTTAGGTTCTAGTCTCTATCTCTTCCACTAAGTAATAACGCTGTAAGGTTCCTAATTACCTCAACTATGGCTAATTTTTTTCTACTTAAACTAGAAACTTTAAATTTCTTCTAAAATTCCATGTTGCTGAGTAAACATTTTCTCATATCTAAATTTGTTTTTATAAAAATGCCCACTGATTGTAAGTCCTTACATAGGTAATTATTAATTCCATCATTATTAATCATATTAATATGTGCATATCAGCAATCTCAAATCCATTCTAGAGTAAGAGAAGACAAAAATAAGTAAAATTATCGCATGGAGTCAATGCCCTTGAATTATACACTTAAAATTATTAAAATGATGAATTTTACATTTTGTATATTTAAGTATAATAAAAAAATTATACACACACACAGAGGACTTTCCTAACAATTTGACCTACAATTTAAAATTGCATTATACTTGTTTTAGACATTAAGTCTGTTTCCCCAAAGGATTCCCCAATCACTTGTTATAGACTTTCTTAATCCTAGTTGTAATTCCAGGGACCAACTCTGTATGGCTCTTAGTTACCAGGGACGGTAATTATATATCATGGCTTTTCCAAGTGTTGTTAGTGTATTTTAATTATTATTTTGAACACAGGCAATTCATTAAACATATAAATATTTGTAAGGCTTTTGAAGTAGACACCAAAAAAAAAAAATCCTTCATCATTGTATCATGAGTTGGAGTTTAGAAAATGTGGTCACAGAACTCTAGAACTTCAATAAATGTTGATTCACGAATGAGACTTGATTAGACAAAACCTAAGACCTAGCATCAGCCCAAAGAGACTTTGCCCGGAGTGTAAAATAAGTTCACAATATTACAATTTTTAGGATGTATGTCAAATAATACCCTTCTTAAGTAGCTACTTATCCAAATAATCCCTACCACTTTCTCTAGGTATCTTTTAACAAAATTGTACTTCAGCCTGGAATCATCCAAAATAAGGTATCTGTCTAGACGATCCACAAAAACTACCTGTTGGAGATTTTTGTTGATTATTCCTGAATAGCATAGTGTCATTTCTTAAAAACCTGAACTTAAACTACTTAGCCGTATGTTACTAAGTACACGGGTTAGTCTCGATGTTTACCACACCAAGGAGAGTTGGCTTCTTTCCATTCCCGAGGCTGATCCCGCCCCGTCTCCTTCAATTAAATTCGGCTAAAACAATTCAACAAGCCACCTAATTAAATTCTGAGCTCAGTAGAAATTTCCAGCCCAAATCACAGTAGTTTAGCACTCAAGGAAAGGGAAACTTAGAAAGTTCACGTTGAAAGTTGCCAGGGACCCAGCCGCTGACATTTCTTGAAAAGTTACAGATCCTATGCTAGTTAGCCAGCTGTGCACCTTGCTGGTCGGGAAGGCGCGCTGTGGATCGGGGCGAGCGAAGGGCAAGATTATGAGCTTCGGTGGACGAGGATAGGAAGGAAAGGGGAATAATCCATAAGGACTGAGTCCCGAAGCTCTTAGGGGTAAGGATCGAAAAAGGCCTATTCAGATCGGGCCACTGGACAAAACCACACAGGGAACGGGCTCCCAGATCTAGCGTTCGCAGTGCGGCCGTTAAACGCAGCAGGAAAGTGGGCGTGTTTTCTTCCTCTTCCCGCCTCCCTTGAGACAGGAGCCCAGTCCTTTCCCCTGGTTTTCACCCGGGCGGCTCCAATGGCTGACAGGCCGCAGACCTGAGTCGGAAGCGCCCCGCCCCCCGCGCCGCTCGCGTCCTCGGGGTCCCGTCCGCCCAATCTTCCCCGCTCGGCAAGAGGCGGTGGCTGTGGCCGTCACGTGTGCTGGCAGCCGCCAAGTGAGGCCGCTTTTGCGACACGGTGACAGCCAAATGGTGCGACAGGAGGAGCTGCAGCCGCGGCCGCTGCGCCCCGCACCGAGAGGTTGGAGACGGCTCCTGGCGTCGCCCAAAGGGAGCGATTGAGCGAACAGAGTCCGGCGCGGCGGCGGCGGGCGGCGAGGGGGAGCCGCTACGAGTACCCTCGCTCCCCGCCGCTCTCGATGAACCCGGCGGAATAAGCCGCCTCTCCAGCAGGAGCTGCGCCTCCATGAATCCTTAGTTGTTTTTTTTTTTTTTTTTTCCTCTTTTTCTCCCGGCTCCTCACCTCCCACCCCGGCTCTCGTCCCGCCTTCTCCCTTCACCAGCGGCGGCCGCTTTCAGGTGCGGAGTCCAGAGCGGAGCGCAATGGCGTCCAACCCCGAGAGGGGGGAGATTCTGCTCACGGAACTGCAGGTAAGGGCCGCGGCCCGAGCGGGAGGCGCTGGTCGAGGACGCAGGGAGAAAGTCTGGCACGGGGTCAGGGGCCAAGGGAAACCGTGTGGCCGCCGCGCCCCTGGCCCGCTAAGTGCGGAAACTCTGGGATGTCACTGGTGAACCGCTTCCCTCGGGAGTCAGACCCTACGCCCGGCCAAGACCCGGCCTGCCGCCGCTTTGATTGGATTTGACCTACCAGAGGGACCCCATCTCTGCGGGCCAGCCAGGCTGCCTTGGAGTCTGCTCTTGCCGGGTCCCGGGAGCGGCCAGCTCACCGCCCCCTCCTTGGTGTCAGAGTAGCCCGCGAGCGCCCCCGTCGCCCCCTCCAGTGGCCGGCCCGGGCCCCGCCCCGTCTTTCCCCCCCTACACCGCTCGGTAAACTCTTTTGAATGACTCCTAAGCTGTTTGCTCGTCCCTTCCCTTCCCCTCAGACTCTGCACAAAGAGCGCCCCCATAACTTCCAGCCCCCAAACATTTTTTTTTTTTTTTAAGGGAGTCTCACCAATTACTTGCTTCGCTTCACCATCTCTATTCAGGTGACTTTCTATCCTCAAATTTGCAGGCTACCTTTTTCTTTTTTACCAAGTAGTAGATAGATTCTCCCTTTCTTGGCGACCCCAGCTCAGATCCGGAAGTTCAGATGTTGATGCTTTTCAGACTTTCATTTTCCCTCCCGTTTAAACGCCAGGGAAAGAGCTGCAAAAGTTGTTTACAAATGAGAAAGCAGTCGACCAAGGGAAAGCATTGGGCACCACATGTCTACAAAAGATGAGAACAAAGTAGAGCCCTTGATTATTTAAATCCCTGTGGAGCAGCAATATTATTATTTCCTATTTCCAGCTAAATATTTGTTATAGGCACGATGTTTTGTTTTTAGATCCAGGTTGTAGGAGGAGATATGTTATCTGTCGGGTTTATTTTTCTTTACTTTGGAGTATTCCCGAGATGTTTACATCTGGATTAAAATTTTATTCCTTTTTTTTTTTAAAAAAAACTTACTTTGGTTTGTTTTAATGAACTCGTGTTTTGGTTACTCAAATATTAGAGTTGGTAATTAAGAGAAAAAGGAAAATAGCGTGCTTGCATTTCTTTTTGAGGATTGGACTGTTAATTTAAAAAAAAAGTTGAATCTAGAAACAAGGATTGGTGTCAAAATTACATATTGAAACTTTGAATTTCTTGTTGAAATGAATTTTTCAACAGATCTGTATATAAGTTTGGTTTATTGTGTAGTCAGACATAAGCTGGAAGGCATTGCTGTGAATCTTGATTTTTCACAAAAGAGATTTCAGCAAGAGACACTAATACACTGTTGCAAATTTGGAATTCTTTGGAAATGCAAAGTTCAATTTCCTGTCATTGAAAATATTGCTATGTTGTGTTTTAATTATAATTACCTTTTAATAAGTAGATCTTAGAGTATACCACATTTGCTAAATGATTGGAATTTATTATTTTTAATTTACATGAACTTTTAAAATGAGGATGATTTGAGACACATCTCAGAAAAACTTTACCTAGTCTGGAAACATGAAAATCATACTTTGACTTCTATGGCTCATTTTTCTTTTGAATTGAGTAGGGTTAGAATTATGAAGTATTTGGCATCCTTGTTTGTATTTTACTTTTGGCACCAGAAGTGAAAACATTTTTGTTTATTAAAATATTAATAGTATCTTTTTAGTTATATAAGGCCAATTTGGACAATAATAAGGAAGCAAGTTAAAGAAATAAAAAATTTTACCTGACAATTTAAAAAATAAGACCAAAGAAGGGGAATATTTAATATAAAGCTAGACTTTAAAATAAACTAAAACTTAACTTCCTCTAGAAAAAGAGTAGTTCTTGCTGTGAAGGGTGACCTGTGCATATAATCCCAGCCACTCAGGAGGCTGAGGCAGGAGGGACTCAGATTTGAGGCCAACCATTTCAGTCAATTTAGTGAGACCTTGTCTCCAAAAATAAATAAATAAATAAAAGAATATATTTTTTTTTTTTAAGATAGAGTGAGAGAGGGAGAGAGAGAGAGAAAATTTTTAATATTTATTTTCTAGTTTTTGGTGGACACAACATCTTTGTCTGTATGTGGTGCTGAGGATGGAACCTGGGCCGCTCGCATGCGAGGCGAGCGCGCTACCGCTTGAGCCACATCCCCAGCCCCAAGAATAATTCTTATTGTTGCTCTAGTAACCTTAAGGTCATTATATATATCCAGGACGTTTTTCTTGTTTTATTGGACTCCCAGTTCTAATAAAAGTTATTGCATTTAAAGTTTATCGTGTTTATTTGAGAATATTATTTATATCAGCACTTAAGATAAATGGTCATATAATTTGCTTCACTAAGTATATCCTTTTCAAACATTTTATTATTTCGTGGGGCCATGAATCTGTCATATAGTGATCATTAATCAAACTTCTAAGAATCATTTTTTAAAGCTCATAAATTATTTAAATTTATTTAGATTGAAAAAGTTCAATATGAATTTCTTAATGCTTCTCTGCTGAACAGATTTTATTTCCATAGTAAGTAATGCAGCCAGTTTAAAAATGTGTTTAATTTTTAAAAACTATTACTTTGCTGTATCTTGTCTTAGGAATACTTGTTTCACTCTGAACATTGGATGTTACAACTTAACTTTAATGATGTTGATATTTATTTAGAAACATAGTTTTTTCATCATTTTTTTCAACTCATACTGCAGAATTTGAAATTTTATGTTACTACTTGAGGACCTGAAATTGTTTTGCTTGTTAATAACCTCTGTAGAAGGATAGAACTAAGAAAATCTGAAATTATCGTAGTTTGTCTTGTTAATCACTGTAATGTTTCTTTTCTTTTTTTTTTTAAGAGAGAGAGAGAGAGAGAGAGAATTTTTTAATATTTATTTTTCAGTTTTCGGTGGACACAACATCTTTATTTTATTTTTATGTGGTGCTGAGGATCGAACCCAACACCACCCCCCCCCCCCCCCCCCCCCCCCCACCCCCCCGCATGCCAGGCAAGGGAATTGCCGCATGAGCCACATCCCCAGCCCCACTGTAATGTTTCTATGCAAAATGTTCCTAACTTTCTAGTAATTTGGGGAATTTATTAAATAAGTAAACATTAATAAAATACAAACTTTGATGGCCAGAGATTTCAGAGTATAAGGAAGAATATTTGCTATAGTAAAAATAAAGTGTTTAAATTATAAGCTTAATTGGCAATTTCTAATTTTTATCTTTTTTAACTAATTTATTTTGTCCTGTTATTTTATTTATTTAAGTATAGAAGGAAACTTCGATATTTTTGTGAGGCTAAGGAAACTAAATTTTATTTCCAGGAAACTGAATTAACAAAACTACAGTGAATCTCAAATGAAATATTGGCTTTAATTTTGTAGAATGCCAAACCAAATAGTGAGCAGCATACTAATAAGGTAACCTTGTTGATTATTGGTGATTTACCTTCTTCTTCAAAATACCTAGTGAAGTGTTTGGTTGGGAATCTTAAATTCTATTCCCAGCAGACTTTATTTAGATAAAGGGAATTTGCTTACGTGAAAATTTGTGGTAGTTTGCCCTAAATTATAGGTATTAATTTTAACAAAGTTATTTAGTATCTACCAAAGCAATATTGGAGGATGTAAAAACAACAAGAAAATGGCTTTTTGGTTCTAGAAGAAACTACAAATAACTTTTGTTCTAGAAGAGAATTATATGAAAGTACAAATAACTTTTATCGTTTGCTACATATTTAACACTATATTTAGTATCCTGTATACTTTGACAACAACCTAGCAAGGTAAAAATTTTTTTTTCCATTTTTGTGGATCTGGAAACTAAGTTCAAGAACGTTAAGTAAATTGCCCATGGTTGTAATAGAAGTGTGAATTTGAACTCAGATCTGTATGTTTCCCACTACACCATTGTTTAAGCTGCCATAATGCTGTGGACCCATAAATATTTTGCATTCTACTGACCTTTTTACAGGCTCTCTTCATTTAATAATTACTGTTTCTGAAGAAAGATGTCAAATGTTTGCCAAAATCTCCCAAAAGATTTACCCTTTCTCTGTAGACTGTCTACAGGATCAATTTTGTAACATTTTATGCTTTTGTACAATCTAGCTGTGTTTGGCACTTAGTTGGTGCTCAATATATTAATGGGAAGGGTATATTTGTCTCTGTATTTTCACTATTTTAAGAGAAGTTTGTTGGAATTGTGAAATTACAGTTAGCCCTTGGTATCCATGAGTTTCATATCCATTGATTCAGTCAAATGCATATCACAAGTTTTAAAAACATTATATCTGTACCAAATATGAGACTTTTTTCTTGCCACTATTCCCTAAACAATGCAGCGTAACAGTTATTTACATAGCATTTACATTGTGTCAGAGACGTTCATAGATTATATGCAGAGTTGTCTCTTGATCTAAAGGGGATTACTTCCAGGACCCCCATGGATTCCAGAATTCTCTGAGTCCTTCATATAAAACAGTGTAGTATTTGCATATAACCTATGCACGTCTTCCTGTGTACTTTAAATCATTTCTAGATTACTTATAATACCAAATACAATGTAAATGCTATATAAATAGTTGTTCTATGATGTTTAAGGAATAATGACAAGAAACAGTTTGTTCATATTCAGTACAGGTACAATTTATTTTTTCAAATATTTTTTGATTCTCAGTTGACTCCTCAGATACAGAATACTTTGATATAGAGGGCTGACAGTACTGCACTGTCCCAAGGAACTTGAGCATCCACAGATTTTAGTATTCTGGGGAGGATCCTAAACTAGCCCCTGCTCCCAATACAATTATATTTAGTTTTTTAAAATTTACATTTCTAATCCACTTTTTTAAAAAAAATACTTCTTCAAAAAGAACAAAAGGAATTTCTGCAAAAATTAATTACACCTATATACACCATACTTGTATTTTTCCCATTTGATGGGAAATTAGGAGATGACATCTAATTTTGCAGTGAT